GGAACACCATTGAGGGCCTTAGTCAAAGAAGTGGGGCACCAAAACAGTGGGTCTACTACATGAGATGGGCAAGAATGGGGCCAATTTGAAGGGGCATGAGTATCAACAAAAACACATAAAAGAAAGGTCACATGGGGCAAGCAAACTAGCTGTAAGCAACCCATGTCCTCAAATCTTAGTACTTACGCCTATTTGGGAACACGTTAATTTAGTAATTTTTTAATTATTTGACTAAAATATAAGTTAAAAAAAATTAGTATGTTTGGGATGACTTTTTGACTTTTTACGAAAAAATATGCAAAAAGTAGAAAGAAAAGAGAATCTTTGACTTTTTGGTATAAGTTGTTGACTTTTTAACTAATTTTTTGACTTTTTAATAAAAAGGTTCGGTTGCCAAGCGAAACCTTACGAAAACAACAATAATGAAGAAATTAAATAAAAAGATCAAAAATCACGTTGACAGATCCCCTGTTCATTGATTTTTCTGTTTTGTGACGTTTAATAATTCTCATTAATTCATTGTAGCCGCTAGTTAGGTTACCCCCGCTTCATTTGTTTTGATTGGTAATATTTTTTATCTTGTCTTTATATTTAGTTGTGACTTTCAAATTAATGTATTAACGTTTTTATTAATAGTAGTGACAGTGAAATTACAAAGGAGGACTGGGATAAGAGGAGAAATCTTAGGGTCTGTTTGGTTTAATTTTATAATTGTGATTTGAGTGTGGAATTGTGTTTTGAGTTTTGAGTTTTTGAATCATGATTTGAAAAGAAAAAACTTATTTGGTTATGAGTTTTGAAAATAGTTTTGGGATGATTTGTAATTTTTTTTGAGGTATAAAAGGTGAGAGAATGTAGGATTTGGAGATCTTACTGTGCTCAAAGGCACAACAGGCTACTGTGCTTCCTTGTGAAGTATCGTCCCGAGTCTCTTTCGATAATCCGAACGGTTTATATTATTGTTTGGATATCTACAGTCCTATAACAAAAGCATATTTATTTTTATAAAAATTTATGATTAACATAACTTTTATAAATTTTTAAAAATAATTAGGACCTAATCATGGAGTTGTGAATATTCGATTAACTTGATTTTTTATATTAATAATATTCTTGATAAATTTTACAATATAAACAATTCAAATCATCGAAAAACACTCGAGACAATCTCTTACAAAGGGCTACAACAGCACCCTCAAGTTTGAGAATGTGAGAGAAAAGATGAGAGAGAAAAAATAATTGATTGATTGATTAATAATATAAAAAAAAATAAGAGAAGAGTTTTGAAAGTAATTTTAAATTATATTTTAAAAATATATTTGATTAATATTTTTTGTCCGATTTATAATTTATAAACAAAAGTTGAATTTTGAAAAATTAAGTTGTTCAAGTCATTATTAGAATAAAAAGAGATCATGGAAGAAGTCAACTAGGTTACATATCTATACTAATAAGAGCCACTGCCTCTTAAAAGTGTGGGTTGTTTTTTGGGACCCTTCTACCGAAAATTCTATCCACTTTATTTTGATTAGGGAACGCGTAGTGTGATTGGAATGGTTTGAGAATGAAATTATAAATTAAATAATGAGTTGTTGGATTGATAAATGGATAAATTACAATTTAGATAGTAATTTTTAGGGATTGAAAAATATTTTAACTAATTATTATTCATTTGTATAATATATAACATTAATTTATATAATATTATATATATATATAATATAAAATAATTTTATATCATATGCTTTATATATATATACCTATTAATTTGTAGTAAATTTCATATTTTAAATATCTCTCACACTCATTTTACTTTAATATTTTATTAAAGATTAAAAAATATATGTGTATTAATTATAACAGAGCGGAATGATTTTGAAGGTGAATTATAAATTTTAAAGTTTGAATCATGGTTAGCGATTAGAGCAATATAAATTAATATAAATTAATATAATTTTAACAGATTAGACAGTATTTTAACAACCTTAATTCTGACAAATGCTCTCTGCTTTGTCTTGTGTTAAATTAGGAAGTCTTTTAATGGAATTTGCCCTCGTAATCTCATCTTTAGATCACCGGTTAACTCGAGCAATAATCACTTGGGCTCATTCCAGACTTGATTTTAATAATATGAATGATTTATTTTTTAAAATATATTGAGTAGATTATATTTATAAAATATGAAGTTGACCAGTTAGTGATAATTTTTTTATCTAATTATATTTGTATTTAGTTTTATACATAAAATCACATTAACTATTCATTTTTTTAAATACAACTGTAATTAGATGAAAAAGTTATAAATATTCAATCAATTTAATTTTTTACAAATATAATCTGCTTGATTTATTCTAAACAAAAATGTTAGAGATCCTAAAAGTTCTATCAAAATTTTTACCAAATGTTTCACATGAGTTTGGGACCCAGATAGGACCCACATGGTGTGGGTTTCATACCAATGTGAGACATTTAATAGAAATTTTAGTAGAACTTTTAAAATTTCTAACATTGTTCTATTTTAAAAAGTGAATAATTTGAATTATTAAAATAGGATCCGCAATAAGTCCTATTAACTGCACAATAGAGACCGTTGTATCCCGAGTTCACAATTTTATTTTTTATTTTTTAGCACCCAGGTTCACAATGCTATCATATTTGAAATCCTTAGGCTCTATTTTATTCATGGATTTGGGAAAAAAATTTAAAAAGGAAAAATGAAAAGATATGTGAAACTAAGTAAATTTAGAAAGAAAAAAGAAAAAAAAAATGTGTGAAATTAGATAAAATGTAAATATATGTTATTCACATTTTATCATTTTTTTTTTCCTTTTTAAATCTCTTCCTAAATATTTAAACCAAACATAGCCTTAGAAAATTGCTAAAAAAGAGTGATATGATATAAATGGGTTAAGTGTTAATTTTCCTTGCAATTTAGTATAGAGTATTCACATAATAAATATTTTTAAAAAAATGTTTAGAATGGGAAAAAGTGCTGCATACTCAATTTTGCATTTAAAATGAGGTGTTCACATTATAAATTATAATAATATAAAGGGATTGGCTTCCCTCCAGTTCGATCATCAGACTGTCATCAGATTGGAGAGTGTTATTGAGCCCATGGAGGCCCACCACGGATCTCGTTTTGATAATTCAAACCGTTCAATATGTAGAACTCGTCGAGTACTATATGCTTGCAAAAAATTACGTTGATTGTATATCGATAGCTATTTCATCGGATCAAATTTCTGTCAAACATTTATTTTTTCACCGTTCATTTTTTTTACACAAAACTGATTTGATCTCGTAACTATCGATATCCGATTAACATGATTTTCAAAATGTTTAGTAATCGACGAGTTCTATACATTGAACGGTTTAAATTATCAAAACGGAATCCGTAGTGGACTCCACGAACCCAACAGTACTCCAGTCCGATCACGGACCGGAGGGAAGCCAAACCCAAATATAAATATCCTGAGCCTATTGGGCCAGCTTGGCTTGGGCTTGAAAAAGCTATCCGTGTTCGAGTTTGGACTCGTATCAGACTTGATCTGGGCAGGGACCCCTACCTAAAACACCCTTTTATGCAAATAATCTCATCAGCTAAACCATAGACAAATTGATAATTTTTCTGAGAAATAATTCATTTAATCTTTTATACTTTATTTCATGTGCGATGTATTCACTAACATTTGAAAAGAAACACGTAATTCCTTTATACTGTGTTTGGTTGAGGGATTTAGAAAGGAAAATGAAAAAAATAGGTGAAATGGGAATAAAACATACTTATATTTCACCTAGTTTCACACACCTTTTCCATTTCTTTTTCTAAATTCTTTCTCAAATCCCTCAACCAAATACAGCGTTATGTGTTAACACATGTTTCGTATTTATTTTTAACTTGGACAGATAAACTCATGTTGCACTTTAATTTGTAAATTACAAAAAATTACATGCATATTTTCAAATAATATGCACATAAAAATAAATCAAATGAGCAAAGCGAAGTTCCAAAAAAAGAAAATATATATATATATCATGGTGTCATGATGCAACCTGCCTCTAATAATGGCACATGGGGTGGCTGCAAATGTTCTCACAAATGGGGAATTCTTTGACTTCTCCACTCAACTCAAAAACACAAGATGGGAAGCCTCTCTGCCCATCATAGAATACACAAAAATGCAGTCTCACCTCAAAATAGAAACCTAATAACATTTTACATACCAATTTGTAAGGGAAAATGTTATAAATCCTACATTTTTTAGGGCCTCATTTGGCAACAGATTTTTTTAATAACTTCTTAATTTTTTTGTTAAAATATGATATAAAAAAAACTATTATATTTGGAATGACTTTTTAATTTTTTACGAAAAGATATGCAAAAAATATAGAGAATGAAATCTTTGACTTTTTTTGTATAAGTTGCTGATTTTTTTGATTTTTTTAATGACTTTTTAACTTTTTGACTAAAAAATCACTTGCCAAACGAAGCCTTACAGAAGCCAACAACCAAATGTCTGAAATGAGACCTTATCTTATCACTTACCAAATGCCTTACATGAGTGTTGGGTTTATATTTTTGTGAACCCCACATTTATGTGAGATATTTAATCATTTATTTCATAGAAAATTTAATATCCTCAACATTACCGATTTGTAAGTTTGTACAAAATGTGGAGGTAGTCTGAAACTTTGTCCATCCCATTAAGAGAAGCCATGTGAGGTAAGATAAGGTGCTTTCTGTCTGTCTCTCTCACCATTTTTAAATGGAAAGCTTTTAAAAGTACCATACCACTGTGGACATGTGTTAGTGGGGGCCCATTAACAAGCAACATTGATTTGCACCAACTACCCAATGTCATTTTAGGACCACGAGTAAATTTCAAATACTTGTGATTACACGCAATATAAAAAACACCAATACCAAAAAAACAAAAAAAAAAACAGAAAAATCTGAATTTATGACTTCAAGTGGACATAGATATTCAAACATGAACCTTGGAAATTCTCTTTCTACAATTTTGATGTTCTTTCTCACTGTTCTTTCCATATCTTCATGCTTTCCTTACAATTTAAAATTTTCTCCATCAATTCCCAAACATGGACTTAAAAGGATTAAACTGTTTCATTTTGTTTATTTTTCACAATTTTGTTCTGGATTTTGTACTACTATTTTTCACAACTATTTCACGGAGCAAAATGACAATACACTACTTAGTATGGTGGAAAATTGACTTTTAAAGCAATAGAAACACCGAAAATTCCATGGTACATGCTGACACTAGTGACGATGAATAGCATCAACCATAGAAGCAGGACCCCGGAAGGTTAAAAAAAATTTGAAAAAAAAAATCCCAAATTTGATTTCCACTAACATATACAAATCAGATTTACCAGGCTTCGTGAAAAGGCACTGGCAACTATAAGTCTGGAGTTCTGATGATATTGAAGGTAAAGCGTTCCTAGCACCAGCATCAACAAGCTACACCCCATTCATCACTGTATCGACATGGACTGTGTTGCCTTCTTCGAGAAATTTACCATTTACTGGAGTTCTCAGCCTCTGAACAAACAAAAACAAAAAATTTCAGTGCCATATTTAAAAACAGAAGAACAAGAAGGTAAAAGAAAGTTATTGATTCATTATATACCCGATCTATAGGATCCCCAGAGTTTCCATTTAAGAGCTTGTGATTCTCTTCTTTTGTCCGTCCATCCTTGCTCAGCGGTAGCAAAAATGACGCACTGCGGTCAGGTAATTCTGCATAAGACAACTCAAAGTCAATACTAGTGTATAAAATGCAGGGCTAAAAGGAAAAGATGGAATTAAAGCCAAGGAATGGGATGTGAAATGGGAGTTTGTACAAATGCTAACCTGGCAACTTGTGGTCAATGAAGTACACCACCAAATTAACAGTGTACCTATAACAGAATCATATTGTTGAACTACATCAGAGAAATATCAGAAACATATTGGTTCAAAGATATATAAATTGACGTGAAATATTATCACTCTACCATGCCACAACAACATCAACCGTGTAATGTTTGCGGGCTGCTACAATCAACAAGCTCTGGATCACAACAGTAAACCAAGCACACTGCTTTATGAACCTGCATATGTAAATTTCATTAAATCAGAATGTGTATATATATAAACACCTAGGAGAGGCAATTCATTAGAATCGGCAGAATACTGAACTTGAAATCATTTTTTTTTTAACTCAGCCCAAGCTTTTGACTAAATTGCCAAAATGATCAACCCTTGAGAGTTTTGAATCTTCCATATTTTTTCATCATTTTTGATGAGATTTCAACCGAAGCAAACCAAAAAAAAGGCTAAAAACCATGTCAAAATTTGTTATTTTTTCATCAAACTTTCCATTTTATGCCAAGAATTTTTTTCATAATTTTGTTAATTGTGCATGTGCATGACCAGGTTAAGCAAGGATCAAATTTTAAACCATGTCTAAACTTGCATCAAACACAAGGGATAGATGATAGAAACCCAGGGATACATGTACCAGAAATAAAAATGTACATATATGAACTCAGGGCAGACAAATCCTAATTATAATTGACAAACCCCAAATCCCAACAGTATCCTTGTCAACATTTTGTTCCAAATGATGCCTATCTATATGAAATAATATCAAGAAAATAGGTTTTCCATTAATAGTGGGATTCAAGAGAGGTGAGAAGGAAGAGAAAACAAGATGCCAAGGCCTTAAACCTAAACAAATAACTTCTCTTGAGTTGAAATCTTTTACCCGAGAACAACCAATGAAAATGCAGGCACAAGAATCGTGTTGAGTCTATAGAGCTAACCAAAAATTGCACCCATAAGTATTGCGCTAATCACCAGATGCCCTACATATCCAAATAAACAATTCCCTTTCTATCTCACTACACAAAATAAACACTTATCTTTCTGTCCCACTTCATGGAGATATTATTTGAGAAAACAATCTGTCCAATTAACAAAGCATAACAGGTTGAACTGTCAAAATTTTCACTCAACTCTCAATTCTTTAACTAACAGATGCTTGCATATAACAGAAAAGTTAACATCTTATTAATTAGAAGAGTAATGCTACACATGCCCTATTTGTAGCATTTTCTTAATTTGACTTGCCCATCTCACACTATAAATGGCTCTTGGCTTTCCAGAACATCAAATATGGGGTAATAAGCTATATATATACTGTGTTAACTATTATCAAATAGTTAATGCTTCATTTGATTGAAATTGCAGCCAAACCAAACCAAACCAAACAAAGCCTTAATTGATTGATTGAAATAAGCCTTAATTGCAGCTACTAAGCAAAATTTCGACCCTTACCTCCGTGTGCCATATTTCTGATAAGTGCGCACAAAGACTAGCGAGAAGATCATATGCGACGAAAATATCAAATCACCACAACCATATAATACGCCCCGAACTGCACATTCAAAAAATCCAATGAACACACAAAAATAGACTATGGACTATCTGCAATAAGTCGTCCAAAAGAAAAGGGGTAGTTAAAGTAACAGTGACCCACAATTAATTAGTAGCACTTCATGTAGACTCCCTGGAGGAGGCAGCGTGGCAAGCTTTGAACCCTGTATGTAAAGAACAAGTATAAGATTGTAATGCATGGCCTACTCACATGGCAAGACAAAAACTTATATCTTGATATATCTCATGAAATGTGATAAAGTTAAATACAATCTAAAAACTGTTTCACATCATGTAAAACAAAATGGTGTAATACTCACCTCACGGCAATGATAGTTTGGGCCAGGAAGTTGAGTAGAATAAAATGTTATGACCCGAAGAATTTGACAAGCCTGCAGTAAAAGATTTTCATGGAGCAACTGTCAAAAGGATGTTTGGGATGCCTCTGCTGCTCAATAGGTGAATAAGTTTCAATCACGTCAATAAGCAGTTGATAAAAAAACCCCATTATAAGCATTTAATGTAGATTTTTAAATTCAACTATAAAAACATCTCACAGGATGGTTTGCTACATGCATTAGGTTATAATTTCCTGTTGTGGCGTTAGTATCTACAAGTAAAAAAGTGCATTTACAACTATACAAACAAATAAAAACAAAAATGCACACATGTACGTACTTAAAAAAATTAAAAAATTAAAAAATTAAAAAAAAAAAAAGAGTTAGGATTTATTATGTTAATTTGCTTTTTAATATAGATTTTAATAGTTTTATAATACACACATTAACTGAAAAGTTAGGGTCAAGATTGCTTCTTCACAAACTAGCTTAAAATATACAAATTTGAGCCTACCTATTGATCAGTTATTCAACTTGATCAGTGTTGTGAAAGGCGCGCCTAGGCACAAGGCGTAGCAAGGCACAACAGTTGCGCCTGCAGGTACCCAGAGTGAGGCGACTTGAAAGAGGCGTGCACCTTATGCGCGACTTGTAGAGGCGAGAAAAGGCACAAGTCGCACGCATAGGCGTGACTTTTGCTTTTGGATCTCTTAATGAATCTAATGGCTCAAATCGTGCTTTTAAAGACTCGAATTACAGAGGATTACAACTCTGAGCTATATGTGAGAGTACCCAGCCCCAAATCAATTGAAATGCCCTAATCTCCATTCGTATTGAAAGCTTCGTGTCTCTCTCTCTCTCTCTCCCTCTTCCCTTTGGCTCGTCTGAGACCAGGTGAGTTCTTCTCTTCTTCTTCAACTTTGCTATTTTTTTTTTTCTTTTTTTTTTTTTTTTCTTCGACTTCGAGTCACGACTCTCTCTCTTCTTCTTCTTTGCTCTCTAGTTTTTTCCTGCTTCTTCGACTCAGTCTCTCTCTCTCTCTCGCTCTCTCTCTCTCCTGCTGGGCAGAGTTCTTATTCTTCGTTTGCTGCTGGGCTGGGTTTTGTTTATTGTCTTCCTTTTTTCCCCCCCTTGCTTCTCTGTTTTCTTTTTTGCTTCATACATGGAATAATGCAAAAATGAGAATAGTAGCAGTTTGTATAAGCAAGCACATGTCTTCTTCTTCTTTTTCTTCTCAGTTTTTTTTTTTGGCTTCTCTTCCATGCTTGTGTGTGTGTGTGTTTTTTTTTTTTGCAATTGTGTCATTGTCTTTGTTTTGAGTCCCTGTTAGAAAAAACAAATAATTACAAATAATTAATTCATGACATCACACATTACATTATGAATCATTAACCTATGTTAATTTATCTATTTGTTACTAACGCCTTGCTTCAATAAAGCCCGCACCTCGCCTTGTGCCTAGGCCCCAAGAGACCTTCAATGCCTTGGGGCGCCTTGAGCTTTTAAAACATTGAACTTGATGGTATGCTCACAAAATTAAGATCCTTCTGGCCCTTATACACAACCAACATTACAAAATGCACTGACATCCCATGGAAAATAACACATTAAATCTTCAATGGCATCTGAACAGCTCTGTGCGATTTTGGTGTTAGCATTTAAAACTTTGCAAGTACTCCATTATACTTATTTGAAACAACGGTGTTCTAGCAATTAATCAATGACCTCCTCAATATTATTTTCAGTCATTATGGTGACACATCCAAGTTAACATATTAATTCAAGTGATCAATGATGTGCTAACAGAGTTGACATTTATAGGACATCTATAAGAATTCAAATATCATATTAGCACCAGCAATACATGAATAAGAATTTATACATGTTAAAAAGCCCCATTATCTATCAGGAGAGAAAAAAAATGTAAGGACAAGCTGACATGTTTCCGCAAAATCATCTGTCACATTAAGCAATAGTCAACAAAACAAACTCACAAATGCAATGAAGAAACAATATTCCTCACTTATGATGTATTCCTGAACTAGTCCTAAGAATTCTTGCTACTGCTATGTTCATATTCTTCCAACTATATGTCCTAATCACCATACATTTCAATCCCAATTAATTTATGGGACACAAAAGAATATTTCTACTATTAAAAAACAAAAATTAAAAATTATATATATAAAAAAAACAAAAAAAGAAACACTTACAACTAAAAATGCCAGAACCCTGCACCAAATTAGAACTGTGTAGATTTTTTTGCTCTTCAAAATGAAAGGATGAAAAGTCCACTGCACCATTACATAAAACGTATGAGGAAAAATGGAAGGTTGTAAACCTGATTGAATGAGGACAAAAGATAAAGTACAAACAATATCATGGTACATAAATTTTCAAAGAAGCTCTGTCTTTTGCACATATAAATCATTATCCACATTTAGGCCTTCATCAATTCTTCAACCAGCAAAAGGCTTAATATGACAATGTTTCTCTTACATTTGCATAAATTGCTCCTCAACTGGAAAAGAAAGGGGGAGGTTAGGAACCTTACCAAGAAGAATGATACAAAGATGAAGGTGAATACAGTCTCACTAATGTAAGCTTTGTCTTGCCCAAGTTCCTGTAGTCATACAAGTCCAAATATAAGAAAAGGTGACCCATTATAGACAGTGCAGTTTGTATTGTAGGTAAAGAAAGAAAACTAACAATAAAACAAAATATACAAACCGGAAGAAGAAAGAATCCAACATCCTGAAGAATGGGTCCGGGCTGATGAAAATAATGAACTCCTCGAGCAGCAAGCCCATGGATGTACTGAAACAAACAAGAGAAATTTATTTCACATCTTAAGCATCTAAAACAATATAGGACAAGAAAACCAAAAACAGAAACACAAAAGAGAGAAAATAATAAGAAGTTACATCCATCAAAACTAAAGAAAATACATTAATGTGAAAGGAATGACAAACAAAACTACTAAGAATTATGGAATATTACATGAAGAAAAGTAAAGCAATTAAAAAAGAACAATATTCTTTTTGGGAAAAATTACATTTTTTTCAACTACATGTTTGTCAAGCTGTTACTTTGACATTGAAAAGAAGAAACAAAATAAAGCTTCCCTGTAGTGAACTGGGTTTCCAGAAATGCAAGTTGAGCGAGAAGTTCAAACTTCAGCCATTTTTTTTTATTTTTTTTTTCAAGGACAAAAAGTATCAAGTTTCCCTATTAAATGCTTACAAAAAAAAAAAAGTGATTCAGTCTAGATGGATTTAATTTATGGGCAAGCTGAATTACAGACCAAAAAAATGAAAAATGCAAAAACCATGGGCGTTACAAAACTCTAATGAACTACATAACATCAAGTGCATCATTCACCAACATATATAATAATATTGGTTAAAAAAATGAAGAGTCAAGTCAATACTTTGATCATATATTATTACCCACCAAGTTGACAATTCACAAATCTCATCTCCAAGAAAAGAAAAAAAAGCCCTTGTAACATAAATATGAAAAACAAACATGCCCATAACCTAGCCATCAAAATTGAATTTAGGCTCTACAAAAGAAACCCCAAAGAACACCATCATCCAAAACAAACCCAAAACCAATCCACTATTCAAAATATTAATAAATGAAACCAGAGAGAGAGAGAGAGAGAATAAATTGATTAATATGATGATGATGATGATGATGATGATGATGAGAAATGTAAACCTGACAGATGATCCCGGCGACAAGATACTTCCAATTCTCGAAAAGAAGCTTGAGTTCTGTTGTAATTTCTGCCCAAAATCTCTTCCATAGCTTCTTACCAGAACAACAAAGGAGATCAATCAACAGCCAGAAAAAGCCAAAATCAAAGCAAAGCAATTTACACAACTTGCTTTACGTAAAAAAAAAAAAATTATCATAAGAGGAAAAAAGAACGAACCTTTGAAGCTTCGCGACCAATGTAAAGCGACATCTCCTTTGCGCGTGACAATTAGTTCCATATTACATCATAAACCAACTGTTAAGGTCAACATAATTCATCACAAATCTCTCTAATTTACCAAAACTTGTCAAATTTCACAACTTTCCGTCCCCAAAACCAAATCAATTTACTTAAAATCTCCGTAATCAAAGACCAGAAAGGCCTCTCTGTAACCACAGAATCGAAAATAGAACGACGAAGCAGAGATTTGCCACGAGTAATCAAAGTGCGATCAAGAGAAGATCGCAATGAGATCGAGAAATTCACAAGAACAACAACCAATCGAAGACCTCAAACACAATGAATCTACACTTGTCTTGTCTATCTCGCTCGAGAACTCTGATTTTCCTTTTCTCTCTCTCTCTCTATCTGAAAGTCTATTTCTTCCTCCCTCTTGTTGTGTTGATTTGTCTCGTTTGTCTGCTGAAACGCGAGTCGAACACGGAGAGACAGTTGAGAGAGAAGGAAGAAAAAAAGGGAGGGCTTTTAAAGAAGGATCGGCGCTACGCGAGTCCCCCCTTGCGAATAGTGGAGGAAAGAGAGAAAGATGAGACAGAGTTGACAAAAATAAACCAAAGAGACTCTTAATTGTATAAATTACGCTTTGTCCTGTTGGGTTATTTTTTTATTTTTATTCTTAAAATTTATTTTAAAATAAATTATACTTACCTCTCTTTGTGTTTGTCTTAATTACAGATATTTTTTTTATAATTTCAAAATTTATACAAATTTCTCTTACTTCAAAAAATAATAGTCAAATTCCCCTTTTGTTAAAATATGTTGCTAAAGTAATAAAAAAGAATTATATCAGCCACAATAAACATACATATGTCCAAAACACTCTTCACATCGACAGATGAAGATTTTATTTGAGCGCTCTCTCTCTCGTTCTTAGTTCTTTGATTTTTTTTGATAAATTACGTATTTATAAATTAATTTTTATAATTTTTTATTACACATTTTTCTATAAAAAATCAAAAAATTAACCCAAACATCCATATTTTTAACCTCAATTTTTTAGTCCAAAAAGATAAAAAGTACACTTTTTTAGTCTTCCCAAACTTTACCTAAATAAATTATACTTACCTCTCTTTGTTTATCTTAATTACAGATATTTTTTTTATAATTTCAAAATTTATACAAATTTCTCTTACTTTTAAAAATAATAGTCAAATTTCCCTTTTGTTAAAAGTATGTTGCTAAAGTAATAAAAAAGAATTATATCAGCCACAATAAACATACATATGTCCAAAACACTCTTCACATCCACATAGATGAAGATTTTATTTGAGCGCTCTCTCTCTCGTTCTTAGTTCTTTGATTTTTTTTGATAAATTACGTATTTATTTTATTATTATTATTTTGTATGTCTATGCATAGGTACAGTGATATGGCATTCTCAAATAATATGAAACCAACATACTAACATATGGTCAAGTTTGACATACTTAAAAAAAGACAAAAAATCAAAAAGTCATTATTCTATTTATGTCATATCATCTTATTTAAGTCACATCACCTCTCTAACACATCATTTTAAACTCAACTCAAACCCAACTCATATTTCATAAAAAGTCAAAAAGTGCACTTATTTAGATCATCCCAAACAACCCCATAGAAGCAAAACATGTTTTTGTGGTCAAAAAGCATTAAGGTGACACAATCTAAAAGAAACAAAAACAAATGAAAATTGTATTATGTTTATTCATAAAGAAAATGCAAATTTTGAGATTGGTGCAAACCTGTTAACTCAACAGATGAAACTATTGATACTATTAAAAGGCTACTACCTCAAGGCAATTTCAAGGATGTGTAAGAATTTTTTCTAAATATGGCTTAATGTGGCTTATACATGATTATACTAGATTTATCTCATTAAGTAAGATACATGTACATCAATTAGATGGTGACTAATCATTGATAGAATGCACCTATATATACATAATGTATAGAAGACTAATGGAGATAATGTCAATACATTGAATGTGATAGATTCATTAAAAATGAATCTTAGAGATGCATTATGTATCTATTATGAATATAGAAGATACATTAATCTATCTAATGAATTCATTAATATAGAAGATGCATTAATCATGAATGTATAAGTTACATTAATCTATTTAATGAAGTTTATTGAATGAATGAATTTTTTGATGGGAAGAATATTAGAATAAATAGTGTAAGGTCCCAAACCACACTCTCCATCACAAAACTCAAGTTGTCACCACAAGAAGGCTCTCATCGCCTAGAGAGAGAAGTTGTTTGAAGATCTTAGACAAGTAAAGAACTTAAAGAACAAGGTCTTCCATTCAAGGTTTCTCTTTTTTTACAAGAGGACTTTATACTATCATGGATCAAAGTATGTATTCACTTATTTTGTATAGTAGAAATTCATATAATTTTCATGTATAAAATTGAATCTTTAATGGTTTTTAGTTTATGCTCCGCAAAGTTTTCTATCAATTGGTATCAGAGCATGGTTCTCAATTCTGACGCATGAAACATATAAGTATGAATTTCATTTTATGATGATTTTTTGTGTAACAAGTGCAAAACCTTGATTTACACTTGTCCAATTTTATTTTTATTTTGGCCAATCTTTTATTCTATTGATATTAAAATAAAAATTAAAAATTATTGAACAAGTGGTAATTAAGATAATGTCTTATGCACTTATAATGTTTTGTTACACACCTTATGAGTTGAAACATTGTTGATCAGCCCAACGGAGGTTCAACACTATGTATGTCTGAACAACTGAGATGATTAGTATAATAAATATAGCAATAAGCTTTTCTACCCAACGGTGATAAACTTCTCGCGTGCTTTAGTTAATAAAATAAAATAAGAGACATTGAGTTTTTCTGCCCAACGGTGATAAACTTGTTATGGTCTTAATGATTATTTTATTTTATTTTATGTTGTTTATTTTTATTAGTCATTTCATTTACTTTTATAAATTGTTAAAATATATTATTATTCGGCCCAATGGAAAGATAACTTTATTTCGTATCAAACTAATTATGTTTTATAGTTTGATATATTTAATTTGTGGTGTTATTTTTATGACATGTGATAGGTAGTTTTCTTGATTATATTATGTAATGGATATTATGTGTTTACAGCATGAAATCCTACTGCAATTAATAGTTACTTGTCTGGTATTAAAGCTTTGAGTGGAATTAATTTTAAGAAATGGAAGGAAAAAATTGGAATTGTTTTGGGAATTATGGATTTAGACTATGCATTAAGAGAGTTTCTCTTACTTTTAAAAATAATAGTCAAATTTCCCTTTTGTTAAAAGTATGTTGCTAAAGTAATAAAAAAGAATTATATCAGCCACAATAAACATACATATGTCCAAAACACTCTTCACATCCACATAGATGAAGATTTTATTTGAGCGCTCTCTCTCTCGTTCTTAGTTCTTTGATTTTTTTTGATAAATTACGTATTTATTTTATTATTATTATTTTGTATGTCTATGCATAGGTACAGTGATATGGCATTCTCAAATAATATGAAACCAACATACTAACATATGGTCAAGTTTGACATACTTAAAAAAAGACAAAAAATCAAAAAGTCATTATTCTATTTATGTCATATCATCTTATTTAAGTCACATCACCTCTCTAACACATCATTTTAAACTCAACTCAAACCCAACTCATATTTCATAAAAAGTCAAAAAGTGCACTTATTTAGATCATCCCAAACAACCCCATAGAAGCAAAACATGTTTTTGTGGTCAAAAAGCATTAAGGTGACACAATCTAAAAGAAACAAAAACAAATGAAAATTGTATTATGTTTATTCATAAAGAAAATGCAAATTTTGAGATTGGTGCAAACCTGTTAACTCAACAGATGAAACTATTGATACTATTAAAAGGCTACTACCTCAAGGCAATTTCAAGGATGTGTAAGAATTTTTTCTAAATATGGCTTAATGTGGCTTATACATGATTATACTAGATTTATCTCATTAAGTAAGATACATGTACATCAATTAGATGGTGACTAATCATTGATAGAATGCACCTATATATACATAATGTATAGAAGACTAATGGAGATAATGTCAATACATTGAATGTGATAGATTCATTAAAAATGAATCTTAGAGATGCATTATGTATCTATTATGAATATAGAAGATACATTAATCTATCTAATGAATTCATTAATATAGAAGATGCATTATGTATCATGAATGTATAAGATACATTAATCTATTTAATGAAGTTCATTGAATGAATGGATTCTTTGATGGGAAGAATACTAGTATAAATAGTGTAAAGTCCCAAACCACACTCTCCATCACAAAACTCAAGTTGTCACCACAAGAAGGCTCTCATTGCCTAGAGAGAGAGAAGTTGTTTGAAGATCTTAGACAAGTAAAGAACTTAAAGATCAAGGTCTTCCATTCAAGATTTCTCTTTCTTACAAGAGGACTTTATACTATCATGGATCAAAGTATGTATTCACTTATTTTGTATAGTAGAAATTCATATAGTTTTCATGTATATAATTGAATCCTTAATGGTTTTTAGTTTATGTTCCGCAAAGTTTTCTAGAGGTGAGCATGGTCCGGATTGGACCGGATTGAGGTAAAACCAGGACCAATCCGTCATCTACGGTTCTTGAAAAATTGGAACCAATCCAATCCATTTAAATCATGGAACCAATCCGAACCAATCCATTTAAACACGGATTGGATCAGTTTAGGACCACGGATTTACATAATTAAATAACAAAAAAATATATATATAACACTTTAATTTCATAAAAACATAAACATAGCGTTATATTAGTTCCACAATAGCAACATGTTTTTCTATAATAGCGACATACTGTTCTAGAATTTAAGCAACCATAAGAAAACTGATTTCACCATAAATCTTTAGACCATTACAAATTAAAACTAAAACTAACAAACAAAAGTAATAAAAGAAGATATTATACGAGTTTAGGTTTGTGTTTAGATTGTATCTAGAATAAGAGAAGATACTATGGGGAATGATGCATAATAAAAATATAGACTATTTATATACGGTTCGGATCGGTTCCAATCCGGAACCGTGGGGTTCAATCCGGAACCAATCTGTGGACTACGGATTTTTAATTCTTCAATCCAGAACCGAACCACGGATTCAAAAAACCAATCTAAACCTATCAGATTGGACTGAACTGGATCGGATTACGGATTTCACGGATTCCTTACTCAGCCCTAAAGTTTTCTATCAATTGGTATCAGAGCATGGTTCTCAATTCTGACGCATGAAACGTATAAGTATGAATTTCATTTTATGATGATTTTTTGTGTAACAAGTGCAAAACCTTGATTTACACTTGTCCAATTTTATTTTTATTTTGGCCAATCTTTTATTCTATTGATATTAAAATAAAAATTAAAAATTATTGAGCAAGTGGTAATTAAGATAATGTCTTATGCACTTATAATGTTTTGTTACACATCTTATGAGTTGAAACATTGTTGATCAGCCCAACGGAGGTTCAACACTATGTATGTTTGAACAACCGAGATGATTAGTATAAT